TGCTGTAGCGCCGCTGGGATGTGTGAATTAGGTGTGTGTGTGTGTGTGTGATGATGTGCTCGTGCTGCAGATAGCAGAGCGCTAACGCTAGCTCACAGATGTACAGCTTCATCGTCTCCTCTTTAAACTTCACCTTCTGCTGCAGATGAAACAGTAAATCTCCACCAAACAGCAGATCCACCACCATAAACAGATCCTCCTCGTCCTGAAACACACCTGCGAGCAGAGACATGGACAGGAGTATGTTAGAGAGATGTTTGATAACATCAGTGGTGTAAAGCGTGGGGTGCAGTGGTGTAAAGCGTGGGGTGCAGTGGAGTAAAGCGAGGGGTGCAGTGGTGTAAAGCGTGGGGTGCAGTGGAGTAAAGCGTGGGGTGCAGTGGTGTAAAGCGTGGGATGCAGTGGAGTAAAGCGTGGGATGCAGTGGTGTAAAGCGTGGGGTGCAGTGGTGTAAAGCGTGGGATGCAGTGGTGTAAAGCGTGGGATGCAGTGGAGTAAAGCGTGGGGTGCAGTGGTGTAAAGCGTGGGGTGCAGTGGTGTAAAGCGTGGGGTGCAGTGGTGTAAAGCGTGGGGTGCAGTGGTGTAAAGCGTGGGGTGCAGTGGTGTAAAGCGTGGGATGCAGTGGAGTAAAGCGTGGGGTGCAGTGGTGTAAAGCGTGGGATGCAGTGGTGTAAAGCGTGGGATGCAGTGGAGTAAAGCGTGGGGTGCAGTGGTGTAAAGCGTGGGGTGCAGTGGAGTAAAGCGGGGGTGCAGTGGTGTAAAGCGTGGGGTGCAGTGGAGTAAAGCGTGGGGTGCAGTGGAGTAAAGCGTGGGGTGCAGTGGAGTAAAGCGTGGGGTGCAGTGGAGTAAAGCGTGGGGTGCAGTGGTGTAAAGCGTGGGGTGCAGTGGTGTAAAGCGTGGGATGCAGTGGTGTAAAGCGTGGGGTGCAGTGGTGTAAAGCGTGGGGTGCAGTGGTGTAAAGCGTGGGGTGCAGTGGAGTAAAGCGTGGGGTGCAGTGGAGTAAAGCGTGGGGTGCAGTGGAGTAAAGCGTGGGATGCAGTGGAGTAAAGCGTGGGGTGCAGTGGTGTAAAGCGTGGGATGCAGTGGAGTAAAGCGTGGGGTGCAGTGGTGTAAAGCGTGGGGTGCAGTGGAGTAAAGCGTGGGGTGCAGTGGTGTAAAGCGTGGGATGCAGTGGAGTAAAGCGTGGGGTGCAGTGGTGTAAAGCGTGGGGTGCAGTGGTGTAAAGCGTGGGGTGCAGTGGAGTAAAGAGTGAGGTGCAGTGGTGTAAAGCGTGGGTGCAGTGGAGTAAAGCGTGGGGTGCAGTGGTGTAAAGCGTGGGGTGCAGTGGAGTAAAGCGTGGGGTGCAGTGGTGTAAAGCGTGGGGTGCAGTGGAGTAAAGCGTGGGGTGCAGTGGTGTAAAGCGTGGGATGCAGTGGAGTAAAGCGTGGGGTGCAGTGGTGTAAAGCGTGGGGTGCAGTGGTGTAAAGCGTGGGGTGCAGTGGAGTAAAGCGTGGGGTGCAGTGGTGTAAAGCGTGGGGTGCAGTGGAGTAAAGAGTGAGGTGCAGTGGTGTAAAGCGTGGGTGCAGTGGAGTAAAGCGTGGGGTGCAGTGGTGTAAAGCGTGGGGTGCAGTGGAGTAAAGCGTGGGGTGCAGTGGTGTAAAGCGTGGGGTGCAGTGGTGTAAAGCGTGGGGTGCAGTGGTGTAAAACGTGGGATGCAGTGGTGTAAAGCGTGGGGTGCAGTGGTGTAAAGCGTGGGGTGCAGTGGAGTAAAGCGTGGGGTGCAGTGGTGTAAAGCGTGGGGTGCAGTGGAGTAAAGAGTGAGGTGCAGTGGTGTAAAGCGTGGGTGCAGTGGAGTAAAGCGTGGGGTGCAGTGGAGTAAAGCGTGGGGTGCAGTGGTGTAAAGCGTGGGGTGCAGTGGTGTAAAGCGTGGGGTGCAGTGGTGTAAAGCGTGGGATGCAGTGGTGTAAAGCGTGGGGTGCAGTGGTGTAAAGCGTGGGGTGCAGTGGAGTAAAGAGTGAGGTGCAGTGGTGTAAAGCGTGGGTGCAGTGGAGTAAAGCGTGGGGTGCAGTGGAGTAAAGCGTGGGGTGCAGTGGAGTAAAGCGTGGGGTGCAGTGGAGTAAAGAGTGAGGTGCAGTGGTGTAAAGCGTGGGTGCAGTGGAGTAAAGCGTGGGGTGCAGTGGAGTAAAGCGTGGGGTGCAGTGGAGTAAAGCGTGGGGTGCAGTGGTGTAAAGCGTGGGGTGCAGTGGAGTAAAGCGTGGGGTGCAGTGGTGTAAAGCGTGGGGTGCAGTGGAGTAAAGCGTGGGGTGCAGTGGTGTAAAGCGTGGGGTGCAGTGGTGTAAAGCGTGGGGTGCAGTGGAGTAAAGCGTGGGGTGCAGTGGTGTAAAGCGTGGGGTGCAGTGGAGTAAAGCGTGGGGTGCAGTGGAGTAAAGCGTGGGGTGCAGTGGAGTAAAGCGTGGGATGCAGTGGTGTAAAGCGTGGGGTGCAGTGGTGTAAAGCGTGGGGTGCAGTGGTGTAAAGCGTG